TTGACGTGAGATTTACTTTAATAATACCAGTTATTAAAAAAAGGTATTGTTTGCTGACATTTTATCTTTTGGCGCTGGATTTTGTTTAAAGGTATGATTATTGCCATTGGGAAGAAAGTTACATAAAACAGAGCTTATTTTGATATTGCTTTAGGTTTAAGACGAGAAATCATTGGGTGCATGCATAGCAACCAGAACTGGACCAATTGCCTACAGTTAGTGTTATGTCAAGTGGCGGCTTTTTTTGCTAAAATAAAGTTAAATTAAAAATAAATTATTAAAATAAGGTATTTACGGAATATTTTTCCTTAAAATATTTTTGTTGTGTCATTTGAGGATCGGTCTATAGAACAGAGTGTCGTCCGTACTCTTATTATTATTATTTTTAATGAGATGTAAGAATGTGGAAAAGTTGGAGTTTTTTTATAAAAAAATAAAAAATTACACAAATAGATTCAATTCCCCTTTATTTACTAAGATAGATCTATTTTCTATAGCAACAAATAACCAATCAGAATTCGGTTTGCCGGGAACCGAATTCTGAAACCGAATTTTGAGTGAGTTTTTTTTTTTTATAAATTTTTTAAATATTTTTATGTAATAAAATAAATATTATTATTTAAATTATATTTATATATTTATATTTTGTTAAAATGAATATTTATAATATATTTTTCTAATAAATATTTTGTTAATTATATATAATAAAATAAATTTTATTATTTGAATTATATTTATATTTTTATATTATGTAAAAATGAATAAAAATAATAAATAATATTTATTTTACATGTTTATTAAAATTTATTTTACAAATTTATGATAATAAATAATATTTTTAGATAACAATAATAATTATATTTTTAAAAACTAATTAAAATAATTAAATATTTAGTAAATTATTTTAGATAAATTTTAAAAACTAATTAAAATATTTAAATAATAAGTATATTAATTTAGATAGTAATGTTAATGCTTAAATTATTTATACTTAAAGAATAATAATTAAATTTTTAAAATAGTAGTCAGTTCCACAATGAGGGCAACTTATTTGATGTGCTGGATTTCATCGTTGTGGCTGTTGCTTTAAGATTTCAAGATGAACTTGTGGAGGATTTGAATCATGAAGGTCTAGTTGTTGGAACACAATTGATGAATTACCAGGTTCATTAGCAAAATCCGATTGCTAAAGAGACTGCATGTAAGTTAGTACTAAAGATAGAGTTGTAAAATTAACTCCAAATAAGTTTGTAAAAAAATCATCCGATGTTATTGCAAACGAATGTTTTGTGTTAATTATGTTTGCTTTTGGCGTAATGTTCGGAGAACATGATGCAGTCTCATGGTACGACGATGTGGAAGTCGTACCGATTTCAAATGTGTTGGTAGTTCTTAGTTATTGGTGGCTCCTTCTTTGATTTTTTAATAGTGGTGGCACAGATAGGAAATAGATGGAATTGACAATGTACCATTTCATGTATTCTTGTGTGTGACACAATGAGCTTTGCATTGAATGACCTGTTATTGTCAGCTCACGTGTATTGTTCCATATGTCGATCCATTAAGCATGTCTTATAACCTAATTTTTATCATGTCTTCCTCTTATGTCAAATTTGTTGAGGTCATTTAAATTATTCGGTGGAGAAGGGACTTCTTAAAAGAGACGACACTGTAATTTGACTCTATCTGTTTGGTGTCATTCAACAATTGCAAAACAAAGAATGACGATATATGAAGTCCACAATTGGACATCTCTATATGCTTCAATGAGTATTGATGTTTGCAAGTCTTGATATAACGTCCATAAAAACTACAAATAAATTTAACTTTGTTACTTAAGATGATGTGTAAAAGATAAGAAAATAAATATAAATTTAAATTTTTATTATGAAGATTTACCTAATTAACTTGAACGTGATCAAACATTGATCTGTACTCTACAACATGATATTATTGTAATTTTTATTTTTTTTAAAATATAATATTAAATAACCAAAAATATAATTTCAGAATATAATATTAACATCATTTTAAAAAAATCAAAATTACATTAAACAATATAATAAAAAAACAAAATTATTATTTATTATCATAAATATGTAAAATAAATTTTAATAAACATATAAAATAAATATTATTTATTATTTTTATTCATTTTCACATAATATAAAAATATAAATATAATTCAAATAATAAAAATTATTTTATTATATATAATTAACAAAATATTTATTAGAAAAATATATTATAAATATTATTTTAACAAAATATAAATATATAAATATAATTTAAATTACATAAAAACATAAAAAAAATTGAAAACAAAAAAAAAAACCTACTCAGAATTCGGTTCTAGAGAAACCGAATTTTGAATGAGTATTTGTTGCTATAGGAAATAGGTCTATCTTGGTAAATAAAGGGGAACTGGGTTTATTTGTGTAATTTTTTAATATTTTTTTTGTAAAAAATTCGAAAAGTTGCACTACTAGAATCAATCAAAAGGATTTTAATGTTGTCAATTTTTCTTATTTACAAATTTTTCAGTAATATAAAATAACTTCAGTAAAATTAGACACAAGGCCTTCATAAAGTTTTACAGGACCTTTTGAACTATTTTCAATAATGCATTGAGTAGACCATTGTAAATACTTCTCTGCAAAAACATGAATATGAGAAAGCAAATTTTTTTACTTATTTTATGTAGTGCCTACATAGTTAGTCAAGTCTACTCAATTTAATTAGTAAAAAATAATATTTCACAATCAATAATTGATTAATTCGAGTGATATATGTTTAATTTTTTAAAAATTATTTTAAATAGACTTAGTTACACTATTTGACTTGATGGAAATAAGAAACTTACGCTCGAAGAGAAAGTAAGAAGAAATTTAATATTTTCTTCAATTTAGATAAATTTAAGGAAGTTTTCTCCTTTAGCTCACAAAAAATAATCTCAAAAGTGGTAGAATTGAACAATAATAAAAGGGGAGGGACAGTTGGGCAAGAATTTTTTTTTTGATTTCTTTAAATTAAAATAATATAAAAATTATTAAAATTATTTTTAATTTTTATAAATATTTTTAATATAATTTAATTATTTTTTACATTATTTTTTAATCATCCAAATAGGTGAAAAACATTTTTTTACCATTTTTTTTCTCTAATTGCAACTCATTCAAACATAACATATTTTTAAAATTCTTTTTCTCTTGTTTCTTTACTCTTTATTTTACATAGCATCCAAATAAATCATTAAATTTATTTAAAATTTTAAAATATTAGCCTAATTTTGATCTTATGCAAGCAACAAACTTATATAAATGAAATTACTTAATTATAATTTAAAATAAAAAAAATACTGACAATAATAATAGTTGTATTGTTATTAATATGAATAATATTATTATCATAAGTACACAGTTAATTTATGCGTTAGCCCATGCTTAAATCTATTGTTAGATTTTGTCACAAGTTTGAATCTTGGGCATAAAATTTTATCTTAAAGTAAATTAATAATATTATGTGATGAATATATTTGGTTTGAACATGATTATTTCTTGAAAATAATTCACTGAACAAAACACATTTTGAGTGGTGAAAGATAAAAATACTTCTCACACTTAAAAAGTTTTCCGCATATGAATAAAATAATAAGATATAGCTAAAAAAATTATAATCACATAAAATTTATTAGGCATAAGGATAACGAAATGCCTAAAAAATTTTATATTATAATAAAATTTAAATCATTTTCCTTATGTTAAGGATTAAGTGTATTATTAATGTGACTTATTTTAGAAAAATAATTGCTAACTTTTACCAGTTTTATAAATAGTTCAAAAAAATATATAATTATTCATTCAAAAATAATTTCAACCAAATGTGTTAAAAAGTTTCCCTAATTTTTACTAATTTATAAGTTTAATATGCTGTTTAAACAACTAAATTTCCAAATGATTTTATCATTTAAATTTAAAATTAGGAAGAGGAGGTTCATAGGACCTTTCTAAGGTAGGGTGATTTGGTGGGTACTCTTACAAAATAATTGTAATTTTAGAGTAGACGCCGGGTGTTAGGTTATTAAATCCATTCCATTAAGGTGATAGATTATAATAAATTCCAAAATCAAAAGTCAAATTCAAATCACATAATTAGTTCAATTGTTAAATCCTTCGTATTCTTAGCCGATCAATTGGTAACTGAACATGCATGCAATCATAGAATGCAAGAAAAAGTGTAAGTGATGACAACCTTTTCAAAACATGAATATACTCCGGTTAGCTCGGGGTTCTCGTTGTGATGTTTCACATAGGCAGAGAAGGGGCCAACGAGGTTGTTTTAAATGTAGTATCAAGTATTATCATGAATTTTTTTATCTAACACATAAATATTTTTTTAAAATAATTTAAATCACGGTTAATATATTAAAAAAAGTTTTGTTATTTAATGTGTAACTGTATTATTTACTATTGGAAAGAGTTTTCACCAAGTTATTTATATTTGATCTTTAAAATTGATGTTAATAAAACTGTAAAAGAAAGGCCTGAAATACAAATGAAAAGTTGGGTTAAATTTGGATTTAAATTCTGAAAAAAAAAAACCACTTAAGTCTTAAAAAATCTTTGGTGAATCCAACTGCTTTCAATTTCTTCAGATTTGACCTTGATTGCCAGTATTGTTAAATGTGATCCAGTTATCGAATTGATTGAAATATTGACTTATTTAAGCACCACTTATGTATCATATTTGTAACGATTGTGGTTATCTGAGGCTTCTAAACTCATTAAATAATATTGGCTCATACTAATGTAACGGAACGCATATTTTCGAATTTGCTATAATGAAGACAAATTTAGTCAATTATTGAAGTCTCCATCAATTCATAAAGGGGAAAAGGAAGGACAAGGTGATACTAATTAGTGGGTTTCCAAGAACACACTTCAAATTCCAGAGGACACGGTACACTCCGCGAAGAAAACACTACACATCAAGTAGAGAACAATTGATTAGAAGTTGAACTTAAAAGGGAACCCTTAATTGCTTAATTTATTTATTAGCAGTGACATTTTATATCACCAACACTCATAGAACTTGATATCAACACGAAGCCGGAAATAAACTTCGCCTTCAAATGCATCAGTCATAATAGTGGCAATTCCTCTGTGCATAAAAAATTCTCCAGTGCCACCAGTCACTGAGATATCTCTGGTCTTCTGCATGATGGGGTCAGCTCCAGCGAAGGAGATTGTTCCCTGGTGTTGTGTGCTATTAAGAACAAATGTAAAACCAAGCCAAGAAGTGTAAGTGTTTTTGGTATCATAAATGTAGAAGCCTTGTGCTCTTCCAACGGGTTTGGAGTGAAGATTGTTATCGAGTGTGATGGGATCATCGAAAACTGCTATGTTCCCAAAGTGAAATTGACTAGCCAATTTGGTTAAATTGGCACCTTCTGGGGCAGCTACTATTGCGGACGTTGCATTAGCTGCATTATTTCCATTGTAAATAATGTCATGGAAATAGAGGACCAAGTGTTTGCATGGTGTATATTGCTTCCTCTTACCCGGGAGGGCTGAACATAAAGCAAGCAACAAAAAGAAAACAAAGAATGAAACTTTGGCACCCATTACTTCTATTCCCTGACTACCTTCCTATGTCAGGAAAATACAAAGAGGAACACAAAAGGCTTTGAAATTGGGAAGGATTAGCTCCAATACTTTTGGGGACTTGCTTCTTTCTGGTTCTGTAATCTATGGTCCTTTTATAACCACCAAAGATTGCAATCTCTTCAAAACAATTATTTGGAAAAATATTAAGAATTTAATTGAAATACACTTAGAATATTCCAAGTTAAATTATGAATTATTATGCTTTTTAAAATCGTTAATCTTTATAATTATTATCTATAAATTTTTTAATTGACTGTTAATATATATTTTTATGCCTATCAAAATTAAATAATTTAAATTCAACAGTTAATTAGTTTGTACATACGAGTACGTCCGTAAGGGTATTATGCATGGGCTTCTGAAAGCGTTAGACTTTTGGTCGTATTAAATGGAATAAAATACAGTTATTATTAAATATATATAATTATCTATGTTATTGTTATTTTTTAGACTCTAAGTATTTTTTTATGAAGTAATTTTATTTAACTTGGATAAGATTATTATAAAAAATAATTTTTTTAATATTTAATACGACTTATTATTTAAAATCACATAAATGTTTACTCTAAATTAATAAATATTGTTAAAAAAATGTACTTGAAAATATATTAGTTTTCTGTCCTTTCTTAGTTTTCTTTATGTTTTTTCTTCTTCTCGTCTCTTATTCTTTTCCGCATTTTCATTTTTACACGTGTATACATGCACAGTTGACTTCTGAACTGTTACTCACAACTTTATTTAATGCAAATATTATTATGTAAAATCTAATAATAAGAGCAGGAAAGGAAGTTATAATGCTAAAATAATCACCATGTGTTATAAATAAAAAATGTTAAATGTCAACATTGTTTTTATTTGTATAATTTTATCTATAAAAAATCAAACAGTTATTGAAAATATGACAATTACAATAAAATACATTATACTAACTTTTGATATATTTAATATATATATATATATATATATATATATATACACCATATTAATTATTTGTGAATATAATATCTTATTCTAATATATTTGTCATAATACGAGTATTATTAAAATAAAAATTTTAAAAATATATGATATAATTATTTATAAATTTAATAATTGAAAAAAATAAATTTATTATTAATAATAAGTGTTTATTTTATTAAATAAAATATTTTAAAAATAAAATACCGAATACAGGCAAAGGCATGTGACATAGTGAGAGAAATAAATTAATTTTTAAAAATATTTTCATCAAAGATACTTTATAAAAACACACTCATTTAAAAATAAGGACTCAAACTTAATATATAAAAGTATATTAGTCTAAATTTACATTATCTATATCAATATTTTAATTTTATTAGAAAAACTATAATAGTAAAGATCAGCTTAATGTTAAATCGTAGTAAATGATAATCTTTCTATGGTATTAGTACATTAAATAAAAGGTTATAACATTGCTTACTCTACATCTTTATTCCTTAATGCTATTTTGATATCATCTGAAATTTTAAATGCAGGTGGCTGAAAAGGACTACTAAAAATTATAAAGTAATAGTTGATTCCATTATATTAATTTTGATAAAAAAATTTAAACTTTAACCATAACTGAAATACATATTCAAATTAATTGTAACTATAAATTTTATTACAATGTGTATATAATAGTAGAAATTGATTTTGATTGTAAAACTAATAAAGTATTATTATATAGTTGTACTCGTTAATTAAGTTATGATTTTATATACTTAGCTAATTAACTTTTGTACTTTTGATTTTCTTGGGATATATGTTGGCAATCAGTTCGGGTGCAAGGTTGGTGGTGTTAGGTAGATATTGATTTTAGTGGCAAATGAAGACCTTATAAGAGGTTGGTGAGTGATGCTTGATTTTCCCTTTCCACATTTTCAACAACTGAACAGCAAAACATAACATTGGGCCCTTTTTTAATTCGTTTTTTTTTTTATTTGGCTTCATCCACCCACGATTATGTTCACGAAAATCTAAGACGCCATCACAGAAAAGGATGCGTCGGTGGCCACTGGCCAGTTGTATCATTTCAATGTTCAGTCATTTTTTATTGATCATAAAAATTTATTAATCCATTCATTTAAATTAAAGTTCTCAAAAAACACATTAAATATATAAAAATTTACATAATTTAAATATTACTTATTATTCGATTTCATATGTAAAATATTTAAATTGTATCAAAATTTATCTACATTATTTGTATACTAATATCACAACAATGAAAGGTTTGATAAAGCTTTCTTCCGATTAAAAGTTATTAAATTTTATATTTTGTATTATTTGAGTCTTTATTTTAAATTGTGTAAAATTTAATATATCTGATATATTTTATAAGAATGTTAATATCATGTTATTTGGTGTATTGCTTGGTATCATGTTATTTGAATCATGGATACTCAAAGACACAAACAATTGTTTTATAAAATTTAGGGGAGAGAGAGAGAGATAGTTGAATTATTTTATATTATTAAATTTGTTAATTATATTATTTTCATTTTTATATTGATAATTGAGTATTAATAAAAAAATGATTAAAATTATCTTAAAATTTTGTTAATAAGTAACGGAAATAATATCACTCGACAATTTGAGGAATGTTAATACACCCATGAAATAAACACGAGTGTTCCTCTTTTGATTCAAAAGGACCATTTAAAAAAAATACTCATTAAAAGCAAATATTCAAGTGAAAAATGATTATCTTGACTGGTGAAGACTTTTCGTTAAAGAATTTATTTTGTTTTGGTTTTATTAACATCAACTCTTAATAATAAAAAACACCAGTAAATAAAATATAAAATTGTACCATTAATTAAATCTACTTAATATCTATCTAATAATAAAAAGTGGGCTGAAAAATACATTAAAATTACCGGTCACCATTTATCATACATACAAATCATTTATTAACCTTAAAAAAAATCACTTATTAACTCAAGACTCTGGTTTCTTAGCAAGAATTAAATAAAAAGCTTTTTATTGATGCAATTAGAGGAGACCAAGGGAAGTTTGATAGCAGAGGGGATTTGCACCAATAAGCCAACCAATTGAATATAAGCATGAATACAGCAGTAATAGTACTGCATCTTCGTTCAAAATTATAAGCATTATCAAAATGTCTTAGATTAGTTAAAAAGATGGCTGTTGTACTTTTAATAAATTCGATTTTTTTAAAATTAGTCTGTAAATCAAATTTTTAATACGATGTATAACAATATTCAATCTAAACATTGAACTAATTAAAGATGTTTACTTTTACAAAATTTATGCATAAAATGTGTAATTTTTAGTTTTTCAATACTCTTTATAAAGTTTAAATAATTTTTCTCTTAAGCTATATTTTTTTAAGGATTTGGGCTAAATTCTTTTAAAAGCATTGCATATAAAATTATTGTATTATATTACTTTCGTTAATATCATCCTCAACTAACACATGACTTCAAAGTTACACTAAATTTTTTAACAATTATTATAAGTTAAGCTAAAATTACTTACCAAAATAAACGTTTTCTTTTTCTCAATCAACTGGGACCCCACAACATATGATGTCATTGTCGTTTTTCTTTTCTTTTTTTTGTGTGGTCCCTCGATAATTTCATTGACCCAAATGGTTGACACAAAAGACTTATTTATGATGTTGTAAGAGGCTTTGGTGACCAATAAAAAGTGATACATAGGTATGGAAAATAGTTGAATGGTTGAATTAATAAGCAAAGTTGTCTTGGTCTGCTGATGTAGACGGAGCATTTGTCCAAAAGGTGGTTGGAATTTGGAAGAAGAAAGAAAATGGAGATGCTCTCTCAGTTCTCAGTAATAATAATAATGATAATAATAATAAGTGTTTATTGTAGCCATATATAATTGAACATGATAATTAGATTAATTCAAACTTATGGGTATTCATCCAACCTGACTCGACATTGACTGGATTTAAATTTGACTTTTCTTCAATCTATAAAAGTGTGAGGAAGTTAAAGGTATAACCTGCCCTTAAATTTGAACCCCCTTTTACAATAAAAAATGCACATACATATTTACATATTGTCTCTCTTAATTCGACCCTAAATTAATCTTATCGTTGACAAATGCATGGATAAAGTAGGCAAAATCCACCACTTAACTCTAAGTTCAGTTATGCTAAAAATATTGTTAAATAGTTATACTAGCTTATCGATAAAGAAGAAAAATTATAAACTCATAAATAAGTTATAAATTTGTGTTACTAAGTACGTTTTTATATAGTTTATTAAAATATTTTTTCAACTTATTTCAATAATTTTTACAATCAAAATTAATAGAATAAGATCTCATGTAAAAAAAAAATTTTAAATAAAAACATTTAAATACACAACTTAATTTAACATAAGTAATCTCTTTATATAAGATAATTTATGCTGTAAATTAAATAATAAAATTTATTAAAATAAACTAAATAATTTATTTTAGTAAGTTATATAAAAAATTATTCAAATAAGCTAAATAATTATGAGATTCATAATTATTTCTATAATCCGTTCAAATTAAAAAAAAACCCTAAATGTTTAATTAAGGTTCATATCCAAACATTTATTTGTGTTTTAAGTTTAGCCATGTTCAATTAACTTGTTGAATGAGATGCAAATACCTACTTGGCTTGACTATGCTCTTTCACAATGGTACGTTATGATTCATTGAAAGTTAGGGTACAGCAACACGATAATTTTATTAAATCAATGTGTAATAAATAATTAATGCACGCAAAAAGCATACAAATGTTGACATTAACATTTATAATTATTTTTCAAAATTATAAATGAAAAATTATTAACTTATATATATATATATATATATATATATATATAATATTTTTATGTGTTTAAAATTAACCTTAATAACTAATATCATCAAAATTTAAAAAATGAATCATAAAGAAAGCTAGGTGAAAAAGAATGAAAAAATTAATGTATAAAGAAAATAATAATAATATATAAATGTATAAAAACAATTAAAAGAATGTAATATATATCTCGTTTACATGCAAAGAATTTTAATATTTAAAAATATA